ATACTGGAGTGAGTAGCCTTTCCCTTCTCCAGGGGATCTTCCTAACCCAGGGATCAAACCCAGGTCTCCCGCACTGTAGGTGGATTCTTTACCAGCTGAGCCACAAAGGAAGCCCTTGCCTCTTAGTAGCCCCAGCCTAAACAGGAGCATCCATACCTCTGTGTGACCACCTCCACCAAGAGAGGCAGAACCCTCAGACTGCAAAGACATGAGGGCCGGGTTCCTCAGAAACCCCTCAGGAAAGCCTGCACTCTGAACCTGGGCAAGAGCCGCTGTGTTCTGAGTGGGGGTCCTGGCAGTTGGCAGCAATCAGTGAATCAGTGCCCAATTCACCGGCATCAGAGGTTCTGTGTGCAGGCGGAGAGCGGTCTGGAAGCCATCACTCCCACCCCAGGCTCAGCCAAGGGCCCGGGGGACACCCACCCAGACCTTGGCCCCAGTATCTGGTCAGGTAGGTCTCAGGAAAGCCAGCCTCCAGGGCTCCTGAGGATTGCTGGTGCCCAAGGACAGTTCAAGCAGGAACCGTGTCACCATGATCTCCTGGCTGCTGTCCGTATACACAACACCCTGTTATCTCTAGCTCTCCAGGACTTCAGGCTCAACTTCTAAACACAATACCCAATATTAATATTAATAACAGCAGCCAACATTTAATAAACACTCACCAGAATCACAATACTTTACATGCATAACCTCAGTCTCTCCTTACAACCACCCCAGGGAGCATGTATCACTCTGACTTTCATTTCACACATGAAGAAACTAGCTAAACACATTTGTATTGGAGTGGAAGGAAGTTTTTATTTTTGGATGTGGGAGAGGGAGTCAGGGGGAGATGGTAGGGAGGGGAAAGCCCTGGGGAACAGAAGCACTGTTTGAAATCCCGAAGGGGCACTGCAAGGAAGTCTGGGTCCACCGGGAGCTGGAAGGCAGAAAAAGTGCATCTTGCCTTTTCCCTCTTCTTTTCCACAATTACGCTGTGTTTGGGAAATTGCCACCTTTCTGCTTCCAGGGCAGAAGTCGGGGCCACTCTCCCATCTCCTGAGCCCTGTCTGGAAGCTGAGAGAGGGGAAGGCAGCAGGAGGGAAGGAACAGAAGCAGCTTGGATCTGAGAGCCGGATGGTACTGCCTCCCTCCCAGGCTGCTGGTGCGCCAAAGCCCCCTAGTGTCTGGCGGCTCTGAAACAACAAAGGGCAAAGGGCTTAACATCCCAGGCAACCAGGCTGCCCTGGATCCCAGGCAGGCTCGACCCTGCCTGGCCCTTTTGATCTGAGCACAGACCTCTCAAACTGGAATGCTGCCATCACTGAGGTTCCTGAAAGGGGAAGGGGGAGCTGGAGGGACGAGCTGAGCCCTGATACTCCCTCCTGCATTCCCACAATGGGGGGCCTTGAGAAAAGATGGCTTGTCAAACGTGGACGCCAAGCAACCCCAGCTCCAGAGGGCAGGTTTCAGAAGTGGTTCCTGCCCGCAAGGCATGTCCTCCTGGGCTGGCCTTTCGGACAGACAGGTTCTGGCAGGCTGGTCTCAGTCTCCGTCTGCAACCCTGCTCTGCACCACTGCAAGTGCTCTTAGAGCTGAAGGCTCTGGGATGAACACACCTGCTCTTCTTTCAGACCTTTGGAGAAAAATGCCATGTGGGCGGGGAAGATGGGGAAATCAGGGGAAGGAAACTCCCTGAGACGCCTAGTTTGCCAACATCCTCCTAAACGGAGTGCCCAGAAATGGGCCTGAGCCTCAAAGAAAAACTCTAGATAGCAGCAAGAGGGCTCTGGGTTGAGACAGGTATGGGTATGAACGCCAATGCCCACTCAGCGGAAGACTGGGCACAAAGATCCACAACTCTAACCCCTACACGTCCACCTCCAGAAGGACGTTTTGAGGACCACATGAGAGGATGCACATCAAGTGCCTGCCCCAGGCCTGAATCAGAGTCAGAGTGAGCCCTTAATGAATGTTATCAGATACTATTACTGTGACTGCCTTCACTCTCCCCCACACCAGCTGCTGGAGTCCTTTCTGAACAGGAGGTCTTCAGCACTGGCCCTCCTGTGAACTAAACGTTTGTGTCTCCTGCCAAAACTCGTGTGTTGCAATCCTAAGCTCCACGGTGATGCTATGAGGAGGTGCGGCCTTTGGGAGGTGACTAGGTCATGACGGTGGGGCCCTCATGATTGGGATTAGTGCCCTTACAAAAGACACCACAAAGAGCTAGTTCACCCCGTCTCCTGCCCTTCCACAATGTGAGGACACAGTGAAACGACAGCTGTCTGTGAAGCAGCAGGTCCTCACCAAGAACCAGACCTGCCACAATCTTGAACTTCTTGGCCTCAAAAAATGTGAGAAATAAATTTCTGATGGTTATAAGGCACTGGGCTTATGGTATTTTGTTACAGCAGCCCGAACACCCTAAAACAGGCCATTAAAATCCTCAATGCTCTCCAGCACCTCCGCAAATCCAAGCCTTTTCTCAGAAGGCCCTCTGGGATGGGGCCTGGTTCTTGTTCAGTCTCACCCCCTTCCGCCCGTTCTACCTTTACGGGCTGACACAAAGCCCCCTGGATTAAACCTTCAGAAGCTGACCTTCACACCTCTGGGCCTTGCTCAAGCTGCCTCCTCTGTTGGAAGCAGTGCTCTCCCACCAGAGACCACCCCTGGAACTCCTGCTCATCCTCCCAGATGGAGGCTTCTTCCCCCTGGGAGCCAGCCCTGGCTCTCTGGATCTTAGCTCCCCATCATTTCCGGACGAACCTCCCCTGACCCTAGACCTCTGTTCACACAACTCCCACTGCCTGGAACACCCTCTTCAGCCCCCACTCCTGTGGCACATCCCAGGGTTCCCGGGGGCCCAGCTCATTCCTCACCAGGGCCTTCCTTAAGTTCATGCAGCTTCCTCTCAGGTCAGGAACCTCCCACCAATGATAAAATGCAGCCCTTAATCACATGTGACAATTCTGCTTTACTAGTGTGTTAGCAAGTCTTCATTTTGCCTTCCCAGCCAGGTGACAAAGTGTTTCAGGCCCTGACTTGGCTGCTCCCTCCAAGCATGGCCCAACAGTACACTAATCCCCAGTCCAAAGGGACCAGACACCAAAAGCCACCCAGTAAAACCATGGCCTAACTGAAAACTGAGCTCTTGGCCCCACCCCAAAACACTGCACTTGAAATTTCTCTCCTTGTGAAGGAAGCAGAAACACAGACACCCTCTCCCCACTCTCAGCCTCTAAAAGAAAACATTCCTCACCTAATCAATACAGTCCATCAGCCCCGGATGTTTTTCCACACTAGGGAGGTCTCAGCCAGGTTACTCAAGTTCTTGCGGTGGATAAGTAAACATTATCCACCCCATGTAACAATGAGCGGTTCCCATCTCCTCTCCTGGGAGAACCCTCCTCCTCATTTCTTACCAACCTCCTAACACCGTCTCTCCTTAAGCCCCAATCTTCCCCCTGCAAACCCCTTCCCCAGCCTCTGCCTCTCTGCTGCCAGGTTCCATGGCCCCTCCTCACAGTTCCTCCTAACTCTCTACACACTCGCCTGTTCCCCGGCAGCTCTCCTCCCAGTTTCAAGAGCAACACAACCTTCCTCAGTCCTCCCTGGCTCTCTCTCCACTGGAGGTCTCAAGCCCCTTCCCCTAACCCTATCAAGTCCCCAGGGCCCGAGTTCCTTCCCCAACCCCTTTCAGCTCCTTACTCGTCACACTGTCTCTCCCTGCTCTGACAGCCCCCCACCCCCACTTCTCGCATCAACCCCCTACCTTAATCACCATCAGTCCTGAACAGGCTCCATACCTGTTTCCTTCCTGGAAATGACACTGATGGTAGCTAACACTTTCAGAGTGATAACCATGTCCCAGGCTCAATTCTACACCCTTTACATGTGCCCTACTTCAATACTAGTGGCAAATGCCTGAGACAGGTTTCTCTTAAGACACCCCCCCCCAAAATAAGGGAAGTTAATCAGCTTGCCCAAGGTCAAGAAATGGCAGAGCCTAGGCTTCTGACCTGAGCTTTTGACCTTCCTCAGCCACTAAAATTCCTCAAACGACAGTCATCAGAACAACTTTTATGAGCCAACATGAACTCATGTGAAATGTCTGCCACAAGCATTAGGTGTTGGTTCTGTTTCCCAGCCCCCTTCAGCCCTAACCTGGGCATGCCAATCTCACCCTGCTCACACTGCACGCCCCATATTTACTCAAAGATCACACGGTAGGCCTCCGGCCCCTTAGGTCTTCTTATCTCCCTCATCTCTCCTTTTTATCCCACCAGTTCCTACATCAAGCTTCACCTCCACTTAGTCTCTAGCCTCCCAGCCCTCTTCAGCCTTCACTCCACCACCCCAGAGATTCCTCTGTTCAGATCTCACTTAGCAGTCAGGTCTCCTTACACTAGTCACCTGTGACCAGGGCCATACTCACCTGAGACACCTCACGCAACTCAGACTGGGTTCATCAATCGTAGCATCATCTTAGCCCTGACGCCCGGGCCAGAGTTCACATAAATCCATCACCCCAGGTCTCGGAAAGGGGACGCCCTCGGGCCTAAGTTCTCAGTTTCAGGCCCCAAGACTCCCGTCTGGGATCTTTCAAATAGGCTCTCCTTGAGCTCCAAAAGGCTTCCTGGCCTGGCTTCCCTCCAGGCTCCCTCGGTCCCTGCAGGCCACATTCCCTTCAAGGCCTGAGACTGTATTCCCTTGGCCCTTTGGCCCGTCTCCAGCCTGAGATCCCTTCCTGCCTCCAGATGGTTTCGCCTCAGCCCGGGTGTCCTCAGCCCACTGCCACAATCTCGGACAGTCTCTCATCAAATTATGCTGTCAGTGCCACAGTCCGGCGTCCTGGCCATGGCTTGTGTCCCTTCTGCTGCCTTAGACCATGTCCGTAAGCCCGCAATCCCCCGCGTCCTCTAGGCTCGAGCCCTTCGTCTCTACCGCCGCCCCAGAACATGACTCCTCCGTCCTCTCAGCCGAGGTCCCGGCCGACCCCTGCGCGCGGTTCTTACCCAAAGAGGCCCGAGAAGAAGGACTGCGAGTTCTTCACTTTGCGCTCCGCCTCGGCCAGCAACGCCATTGCCTCCGCCTCCTTCCCGGAGTTGTCCATAGCGGTTGCAAAACTACTCAGCAAACCGCCGGAGCCCGGCCCTCGGAGAACTCAGCTACGGCCGGGTCGCAGAAGACAGGTCGAGAGAGCTTAGTGGGCAGCGTTGACGTCGCACCGGCGCGCGCCTCCTGCGGCCAGGAACCACGTGATTCGAGCTGGCCAACCAACGGCCTCGTAGCGCGGCTTGCGCACCGCAGACCACGCCCTCTCCGTCCGGTGCACGCCGCCCCGTGATTCATGGCCTCCAATCAGCGACCCGAGTTTTAACGCATGCGCATGTATCTGCTTTAATGTACCTGGTGCCCTGGTTGATAGCCCACGTGACTTCACATAAGCCAATCATAGCCCTCACCGCCAAGGACCCGCCTCCGGGGGCTATATTTCTGGCTCCTCCTCCACCAATCAACTTCAGCCTTTGGCTCCGTCCGTGACTTTCCCTGCGGAATATCGACCCTAGTCAGCTGATGACGGATCGTCACGAGATCGCTCCAGGCCGGAAGACGCTGCCAATCCTCGCCTGGGTTTGACAACTCTTTTGCGCAGAGCTTCGTCTCCGCCTCCTCTCTACCTCCTGAAGGTCTCTTTCACTTGGAAAGGCGTCAGTGGGTAAGGAAAGCGGTCTGTTTTTTTTGCGCCCTCTGTCGACCTATGCCGAAATTGGTTTGGGAAGGCCAGTGAAGGCGGCATATCTCATTTTATTGTGTTTTGCTTTCCTGCCCTTCCAAGATACAGTTAAAAAAAAAAAAAGAAGGTTTGTGGCAATCCTGCATTAAGCAGGTCTCTCAGAACTGTGCGGTTTCTCTGACACTGACTCATTTAGTGTCTCAATGTCATGTTTAATAATTCTCACAATATTTTAAAGTTTTTTGTTACTCTTGTTAGGATGACCTGTGGTTGGTGACCTTTGATGTTATTATTAGGACTGGCTCAGATAATGATTAGTATTTTTTAGCAATAAATTATTTCTAAATTATACATTTCTAAAATAATGCTGCTGCACCCTTAATAGACTGAAGTATTCTTGCCTGGTGAGTTACATGGACAGAGGAGCCTGGCCGGCTGAAGTTCATGTGGTCTCAAAGAGTCGGATACAACTGAGCAAAGGAACAAAGGGAAAGTCATGTGACTGGCTTTATTTATTTATGAACTGAACCTGCAATGTTTTAGAGGTATGCTGAGGGGAGCAGAGGTCGTCTGGTTTCATTTGAAAAAAATAGCTGGTGAAACTGTTAAAATTTAGGTTCAACCATATCTAGCGCCCAGATCTTAGTTTTTAATACTCTGTTCTCCAATAAGGGGAATGAGAGCTCCTTGGATTAAAGGCTGGTTCTAAGACATTGAACAGGATGAGCCTGGAGCATCTTGTAGTTACAGAAGGGAAGTCTCCTGGCCTCCATCTCTTTGTCTTTCTGCCTCCACCCTCCCCCCCAACCCCCCACCGCCACCCCCACACCATGGAATCTCCTTCTCTCTCTCTCTCACTCACTCACACACACACACACACACACACACACACACACGATGAGGTATATCAAAGAGACAAGAGCCAACTGAAAGAGCTCCCACCGCTACCCCCACACCATGGAATCTCCTTCTCTCTCTCTCTCTCTCTCTCTCACACACACACACACACACACACACACACACACGATGAGGTATATCAAAGAGACAAGAGCCAACTGAAAGAGCTCCCAGTGTCAAAGCTGGAACAATCTGAGCAACAGGCAGCACTGGATTATAACCCAGTCTGTAAAATCTCCGTGAGCTCATGCTGATATAAATGACTGAACAAATAAATGGTGGAGAATAAGCAAACATTCCAACTAATTTATGTGGATATTCCATTCCCAAGATGGAGTATGACTCTTCACTCCTCGTGTAGACAGTGCACAGTGACTTTCTTCCACAGAGGTCGGTGGTGGGGGTGGAGGTACTACACTGACAGTGTGGAAACCTGACAAACATCGTCAGTCAGGTGATAGAGGTTAACAGCAACAGTGACAAGTCACGCTGATACTATGTACTCTTCATAACATGTGATGACAGTGGCGCTTCACCTCTGTGGTCTTCCTCACGCTCTGATCAGGAGAAAAACATCAGACTAACCCTGGTTGAGGCACACTCTCCAAAATACCTCACCACGACTCCTCATAACTGTCATCAAAAACAAGGGTAGTCTGAGAAGCTGTCACAACCGAGAGGAACCTAAATATGGTGTCCTGTGTAGGGAGGATCTTTGCACAGAAGAGGGACCTTAGGTAAAAACTAATGAAATCTGAATAAAATATAGACTCTAGTTAATCAAAACATAGCAATACTGGCTCATTAACTGTAACAAACATGCCATACTGATGTCAGATAATAGTAGGGGAGGACCTCTCTGGTGGTCCAGCGGCTAAGAGCCCGCCTACCCGTGAAGGGAATCCGAGTTCAATCCCTAGTCTGGAAGAATTCCACATGCCAAGGGGCAACGCCCTTGCAGCAATGAAGACCCAGAACCGCCAAAAATAAATGAATAAATAAAAATTTTAAAGATAATAGGGCAACTGGGTGTGGGGCATATGATAATTCTCTGTAGCATTTTCCCAATGTTCATGTAAATCTAAAAACTGTTCTACTGAGAAAGCGTCTTTAAAAAAATTTTAAGTCCCAGGACTCTACCTCCAATGATTCAGATTATGCAAGTCTGTGGTAGGGCACAAGAATGTGCATTTTTTTACAGGACCCCCAAATAATCAGGATGGCGATAATTGAGGCTTGAGAAGACCCTCTTTTCTGAGGGTGGAGTTTGACTGAGGGGAGGTAATGCACAAGAAACCTTGCCCGGCTCTCTCCTTAAGTTCAGAGTCTCTTTGGGACCACTCCTTGTGGTTGCCACTGCATTCTGACCATAGATAAGATTGGATGGGGGGTGGTGCGAATCTGGATAACCACAAGCAGTTTGGGTTCCCTACCCCTCTAAGCAGCACAACTGTAAAAGTTTCCATTTGTTTTAAGCCATTAAGTTTCAGCTTAATTTGTTACACAGCAATAGATGCCTAACATACCACCAGACCATGAAGCCAGACACTTTCACTTTCAGAGTCCGCGGCCGCACTTGTGAGAGGGTGGGACCTACACAGTGAATGGCAGCACCTGCACTGCATGAGCAGCAGCGGCTCAGGTCACACCGGGCACCTGCCAATACCCGATTTCCATCTTCTCATCAACAGATACGTCGGGCTGGGCATTTTCCAGTTACGGAAGGAGATGACTGAGACCCAAACAGGGGAGGTGAAATTTGCCCAAGGTGGCAAAGAGGGACAGTGAACCAGGCTGTCAATCCCCGATCATCCGATGCCGGGGTCCTTTCCCTTCACTGCAGTGTCACACTGCTTCAAACTCAACTTCCTCCTCTACTGTCCTCCCCGCCCCCTCTTTGCAGACTTACTGAGCTGAAATGGGGCCCCCCTGTGAAGTCTTCTTTCGTGTGTGTTAGTCAGTCAGTTGTGTCTGACTCTTTGTGACCCCACGGACTGTAGCCTGCCAGGCTCCTCTGTCCGTGAAACTCTCCAGGCAAGAATACTGGAATGGGTTGTCATTTCCTCCTCCAGAGGATCTTCTCTATCCAGGGACTGAACCCAGGTGTCCTGCACTGGGGGCAGATTCTTTACCCATCTGAACCAGCAAGGAAGTCTCCTGACACCACCCTTTACCCTGTTCCCCCAGCCAGTCCCTCAGAAGGCAGCAGACACAGTCATGCCTGAAGCTGTCAGTCCTCTGATGGGTCCCCTCTTCCCCATCTCAGTTAACAGCGTCTACTCAGCCGCTCAACCCCCAAACCTGTTGTGCCAGCCTCAGTCCATCCTTTGGTTTACCAGCTGTCCATGTGATGTGTGACCCATCACCAAGTCTGAGTCTGCTTCTAACATGATCCTTAATGCCTGTGTTCCTGGCTCCCTTCACTGCTACCCCAGCCCAGGTCATCATCTCACTCTAGGGCCTTGTGGCTTCCCGTCTTGCCCACCACAACCTCCACACCGCAGCTGGAGCTCTGAACCGCCTCCCTCGGTTCCCGGGGCAGTCTGTGCTTCTCCATGCTCTGGCCCGGAAGCCAGGTCTCAGCCTCAGTGGCGTCCTCCACGCACCCCACCTCCCCATCCACCCACCTGTGCCCGCCACACCGTCACTCCCTCGAACTTGGTGCCCAGCTGTTCCTTTCTTTGTGTCACTCTGGAGTGGACACAAGGTCTGACTCCACAGGAGCCATTCCTGCTTCCTCTTCTTTTCCTGGCAAATGGGATTCCAATTTTGATTAGGTGGCAACAAACTTAAGGCAACACACTGTTTTTTCTGCAGGTCCGGAAACAGATCTCCCATGTCCAGTGTCCAAGATAACGGTGGCCATTTCCTTTCCTGCTGCCAGCGATCAGTTTAGAAAGAACACGAGGCGGTCTCCACATCGGAGCCCCAAGAGTAAGTGTTTCCAGCCATTCACACGCCCAACCTCGGCTCTTGGTGATTGGATTTCGTGTACTATCGGGCCAAAAGGGTGACGGTGCCGCTAGGATGAAGCTTGTGAGATTTTTGATGAAATTGAGTCACGAAACTGTAACCATTGAATTAAAGAGTGGAACACAGGTCTATGGAACAATCACAGGTGTAGATGTCAGTATGAATACACATCTTAAAGCAGTGACAATGACCCTGAAGAACAGAGAACGTATACAGCTGGAAACACTGAGTATTCGAGGAAAGAACATTCGGTATTTTATTCTGCCGGACAGCTTACCTCTGGATACCCTTCTCGTGGATGTGAAATCAAAGGTGAATTCTGAGACAACGGAAGCTGTTGCAGGAAGAGGCCGAGGCCGAGGGAGAGGATGTGGCCGAGGCAGAGGAAGAGGGGGTCCTAGGCGATGATGTCGCTCAAGACTACTATTTCAAAGTAGCGGGGAAGGAAGACTAATCCATGACAGAGGAAGAGTATGAGGCCAAGGCAGAGGAATGTGAAGTCCTAAGCGATAATGTTTCTGGAGCTTACTGTTTTATAGGGATGGATGTTCAAGTTTTTTGTATAGGCTTTGTTTGTAGCAGTTTTTAATAAACATAAATGTAACACATTTGTCTGTTGACTATATCATATTTTTAAAGTTCATGTGTATATACTTGATATCAACACAGTAAGAGCCAAGCATTACTACTAGGTAGTCCCACAGTAATTCAATCTTAGATCAGGCTTTTAATTTTTTGAACTAAAATATTTATTTTATGAATGTATGTAGAATATATACCTTTTTATTTCACATGCACTGGCATGTTTTATTGTTTTACCTTGATTCCATTCCGTGGAACCCTCCTACAAGTAAAGTAAGTCCTTTTTGATACTTCAGAAACTGAGGTCCTGTGGAATGAGGTCTAAATTGATTCTCCTTTTCCTGAGTTTTGGTCCATGGAGACAGAGTTTCTTAGTGATGCTCATCTTCTAATTCGGGAGTTGTTGATTTTGTCATCATTGTTAATGGGTTTTTTTGGGGGGTGTTGCCAGACAGTGTGTGGGATCCTAGTTCCCCAACCAGGGATCAAACGCATGTCCATTGCATTTGAAGCAAGAGTCGTAACCACTGGACCACCAGGGAAGTCTCTTGTTTTATATTCTCTGTGTTGAAACTGTAAACAATGTTCACTAGATTATCTGTTACGAGCAGTGTTGAAACTTGTAAATGTGTAATGTACCTATCATTGGCTCCTGTACCAAATACTTTTACAAGTGGTTCTTTAAGAATGAATAAAAGGCAACTGACTTATTTGCCAGCAAAACTGGATTCTTTCCTGTCATTAATAAGGATTTATTGAATTGCTTTAATAGATTAGATTTAGAGAAAAATGTTTCAGTCACTGTGTGACTCCTGTGCCAGCCCCGTGGACTGTAGCCCACCAGGCTTCTCTCTCCACGGGATTTCCCAACAAGAATACTGGACTGGGCTGCCATTTCCTTCTCTAGGGAATCTTTCCGACACAGGGATCAAACCCATGTCTTTTGCGTTGGCAGGCGGGTTCTTTACCACTGAGCCATCAGGGAAGCCCTGAAGAATGTACCTCTCAGTACAGAGTTTCTTATAAAGCTAGTTTACTGCTTCTGTTTACATACTAAGATGAAAACCTGACCAAGGATTGGAGTGAACTAGATTCTGTATTTTGATTTAATCATGTATGTGGGTTTGTTTAATGAAAAAAACTATTCTGCAAAGATTGTTACCAAACAAGATTTAGGCCTTCTGGGAGGTTAGGTAAATTGAGATAGCAACAGCATTTGTGTGTGGCATGTGTGTATGTGTGCTCATTCTTTTCCATCCTCTGTTTTTGTTCCTATTAATTGAATGCAAGCAGAAGGCAAAGGGACCCAAGTGTTCCTCAAGGTGGGGAGACTTGAAGGGGACAAAAAGTAAAGCACAAGTTGTGAATAAACATAAGATGACTCCAGACCTCATGGTACTAACAGGCTGAAAGGGAAATATATACACAAATGCAAATTGTGAATACTCTGATAATACTTTGTATTATCTTGTCTGTTTCAAAAGCTGTGGAAGCTCATTTGAAATGCCAATAACAAAAAAAATGTTTTAACTGTGCCTTTTTATTTTTTAATTTTTTTGGCTGAGCCACATGACATGCAGGGTCTTAGTTTCCCGACCAGGGAGTCAAAACGGTGCCCTCTGCAGTGGAAGTGTGGGGTCCTAACCACTGGACCGCCTGAGAAGTCCCTTAACTGTGTCTTATTTTGTGAATTTTAATGTTTCAAAGTTTGCAGTGGAAACCAGTCTGTTAACAGAGTTTAAATGTAAGGCTAAACTTAGTGGGTACTGCATTGAATTTGTCAACTTTAATAAATAATAGTTATTTTATCAGCACAAGTGACTTTGAGAATAGCCAGAATTGCAATTTGGCAGTGCAAACTATGGCAGACCACAGGCAAATCCAGAGAACCAGGAAGCGGGCCTTGGTTTTTTTATAGGGCGTGGGGGAAGGAGGCAGGGAGGCTTTGGGAGGGGCAATAATAGAGTCTTTTGCAGGAAGAGGCCTCTCATTGGTTGGGTAACTACAGTTTCTGATTGGCTGGGCTCCCCAGGGGACAACAGATGGTTTCATCTTCAGATGTTTGAAGTAATTGGGTTCAAGTGAAGCTGGCCAGTTGGACCTCAGAACTTTCCTCATTGTCCTACTCCCTTTGGTTATCAAGGGCAGTCTTCACCAGCCATGTAGTATTACGAAAAGGATTGCCTTCTGTTTTTATGTTTTGGGGTGGGTTTTTTTTCTTTTTGGCTGCACTACTTGGTTTGTGAGTTCTTAATTCCCCAACCAGGGATCAAACCCAAGTCGTCAACAGTGAAAGCACAGAGCGCTAACCACTGGACAACTGGGGAATTCCCAATTTGATATCTTTTAAGATTTTGTGAAATTTGGGAGTTTGTTTAAAGAAATAAATGAGTTTAGGTAGAAAACTAAGTGAGCTAATAGAGAAATTATATTTCACAGCATGTTTTGTTTTACTACAACTAGATTGGCTCAGCAAGGATGGTTTAGTATTTTGAAATGTAATAATGTGTTTAGTAGTCAAAATTCACATGGTCTTCCATAATATCAGAATAACATTTAATAACACAATTGTCATTCCTAAAAACCTAAAATGGACTTTGCTTATCATGTTGACGAAGAATTTTCTATCTTCAACCAACAACAGTCATTTCTAGAGACGTGCCAATTAAAACAACAAAAGAATGAAAAAAAAAAAAAAAGAACGAATGAACACAGGCTACAGTTCTGGCCAAGGAGATGCAAGGCGAGTTCTATGCTACAAGGGGTTTCTGTGTGTATATGTGTTTTCAGTCGTGTCTGACTCTTTGTGACCCCATGGACTGTAGCCTGCCAGGTTCCTCTGTCCATAGGATTTCCCAGGCAAGAACACTGGAGTGGGTCACCATTTCCTTCTCCAGGGATCTTCCCAACTCAAGGTTCAAAGTCACCTCTCCCGCGTCTTCTGCATTGGCAGGTGGGTTATTTACCACTAGCTCCATCTGAGAATGTCCTAATGTCCCTGGGAAGCCCCGCTCAAGCTTTTCTCCCTCTAAGGAAGGGAAACAAGGAAGGGAGGGACGTGCTGTCTGCCCCGTACCCTCTGAAGGTTGGGGTGCTGGTGGAGGAGGAGGGGGTCCTTGCTCCTGCCAACACTGGTCGCCGCTGGCAGGCCTGAATTTCACAAGAGAGCTGCTCGAGCCACTACCACATGTCCTGAGAGCCTGAACCTACGCCCCTGAATAACCCCTCTGTTATTATGGCCAAAACCACATCCACGATCGCTATCTAAACTGGTCTCTTTGCTGACTTATCACTGCTACCTTCCGCTCCTAAAATGTGAGCTCTGTGAGGGGAGGGGCTCTGTTGCTCCGTGTCACCATGTCCCCATTGTATGGCCTGGGCACTGTCTGGCCTAACAACAGCAGGTGCTTAATAACTGCTGGCAGGGACTCAGCTTACTCGTCTCTGTGGTTCCTGGAGGGGCAGGGGCTCAAGCCTTCATGGGATCAACAAGCGAAGAAGCCAGAAAAGAGCTGCTTAAGAACCCAATTTAATAAGATTTACAAGTTGACACGTACAAAAAAAGAAAAACCAAACCTAACAATGTACAAGTCATGTCAAGACTAGTGGTGGATCTAGAATGCAGAGAGACCCTTGGTGAGGGGCCCTGGCGCGGTGTAGATCTGATGGCAATTCCCACTGATTCTCTACATCTTAGCCTACTGAATAAACGTAACCAAAGCCCGAAATGGAGGCTAAGACTGAAGAGCTACCCAGACCTAACCTGTTCCCTCCCCAAGCCTAACTGCTCCAGGAAGAGTGGAACTGAAAGAAGGGGAGAGACAATGAACCCAAGAGAATGGAGCTTCCAACACAGTGGCAGGGCCTTCATGGGGTCAGATGACCGTACGTCCCCTGCCTGCTCATGACCCGTGCCCGCTGTGTCTGCAAGCTGGGCTGGGCCCTGGTGACAGGGACAGGTGAGGAAGGCAGAGGGACACCTTGGGGAGACTTGCCGCTCTGCCCCCGCCGCCACCCCGCCCTGAATCACCACTGCAGGGACCCGATGTCAGCCCCCAGCTCCCCCACCTCCTCCTCCTCCTCCTTCAGCTGGAAGGGCTTCACCGGCCACTTGACCCTGACGACAGGCTCCACGTGGTCCTGCAGCCGGTGCCGCTTCATGTGGGCATTTCGACTCTTGATCTTATCAAACACCCTGCGGAGGCACCAGAGGACATGGGGATCAGAGCAGGGGGAGGCGTGCGTGGGGGGGGCACCCTGAGAGGATGGAGCAGGGCTGAGGGCTGGCGGTGCAGGCGCCTCCAGGGAGCCCAGTACCTCTCACACTCCCGGCAGGGAAAGGCACCCTGGCCCTCCACACTCCCCGGTGCCTCGGGGCTCCGCTTGGGGCCAGCGTTCGGGCTGGAGTTGAGGATGGACTCCCTCCTGTAACTCTTGGTCTTTATCTTTAGTTCGGGGGTTGGACGGTGGCTGGGTCTCTCCCGAGGACTGCAAGTGACCTGCAGGAGTGGGCAGAGATGACAAAACGGTGCTGAGCCACCCCTTCACCCTGCTAAGGGACCAGCATGGATCCAGAGCCCATGGGAATATCGCCCATGAGCAGCCCCTCCTGCCAGGAGCACCCCCACCCCCGCCCAGCGCGGATGGGCACCAGGCCTCCAGATCGGGCTGAACTCCAGACCCCCTGCCCCGAGACCCCCTACCTTGGCTTCCGCCCTGTCTACTTCATCTGGCTCCCTCCTGACCCTCCTTTCTGGCCCTGGGGCTCGGCCATAGTCAAACTTGATCATTTTTTTCCAGATGTAATAATACTCGACACACTGGGC